AGTCTTTGCGCCTTCGTTGGGCGTGCTAAAGGACCAGGGCGCCGACAACGCAACAGCTCCATGGTGTCAGGTTCACAGACAAGCACGCGGGTGCGGCATCGCTCGGAGGGCTGTGCAGAACGGCGGCTTCCATTCGGCACCGCTGTGGACAGCCGGGGCACACAATCGCCGCCGGGGCACCGAAGCACCCAGAATTCGGGCCTACTGCAGCCATTCCCGTTGTGCAGACGCCGGCGGCCGTTGCGGCGGGCAGTTTCACCGCCCCGAGCTCGGGGCGCGTCAACAAAAGCTCGCCACAAGAACCAGGTCCCTCTTGGCCCCAACGCAAAGATCACCAGAAGTCGAGGCCTCGCCAAAAACGCATCCCTCAATACCCGCGACTGATGGCCCCCTGCCCGGGCTACCCGCGGAAGCTGACCTTCTGCCTCCTCCGACCCTTCCGGTCGATCGCCCCCGTCAGCTCCGCCGCCGGATCGGCCGCTGCCGGCGAGAGGGGCGCGGGCGCTCGGGCTGACGCCCAGCCGACGACTCTGGCGCGGTCAGAGGCCCAGGGCAGGCGCGGAGAGACGCAGGGTAGGGTATGCGCCAGACTGAACTGCTTTTTGGCATCCGCACAGATATGCCCACGCCGGGAGGGGGTTGCAGAGGACCTGTGTGCAGCTGCGGCGTCCGTGCGCGATGTCGCCCAGCGGGTGAGGGCCGGGGTCCTCTGTGTCCCGGCGGGCGCCTAAACCCCACCCCTAAAAAGCACTGATAGACCCAAACCCCAAACCAACCGTAAAACTCCAAAAAGAACTAAAAACCAACCCTAAAAACCAAACCTAAGGACCCTTAAAACCCTAATCCTTACTAGCTCCAGCTCGTTGCCGGCAGTCACTTGTTGGACCGATTTTTCGTTGCAGGACTGATTTCCGCGATGTGCTGGCAGAGGAGGGGCGCAGCCCCAAGAGTGCTCACACGACGAGAATGGTCAGAATGCCCCGAAGGTCACCACGAAGACAATGTGGGTATCGTGGCCTTGTTGGGATTGTGCCGAGGCTTGTTTTTTTCGTTTACGGCACCATTTTTACGTTTATCTCTTCATGTGTACAAACGCGCTTTACCGGTGTTGCTCGGTTTAGAAGAAAAAAACACCCATTTTTGCGCCATTTTCATTATGCACTTTTACAGCGTGTTGACACACCCAGCTTACATGATGAAGTTGCAAACAATGGTCAGTCTGCCGCCCTTGAGTACCCGCAACACGGCAGCAGCCTCGCCTCGGCCAGGGCAACGATGTCGCCGAGCAAACAGTCATCCTCTGCCCGCTCCAGCGCACCTGGCTGCCACTCCCCGGACTCACTCCGGGGAGTCTGCCTGAGTCTGTACATATTGTTTGCATATACACAGGGGCCATATTTAAAAGCAATAGCCACAAATAACGCAAAGCCATGGCGACGTACAACTGCACTTAACTACGCCGTCTTTACCCCGCAAGACCAAGCTTGAATATGCCGAATGTCGTCGAGGGAGCCCGCTGGATAGAAGCACAGAGTGGAGGTGCCAAGGAAAGTCCAGCAGCACCCTCTGCTGATAGGTGTGATCACAATAGGCCTAGAGCCACGCATGATTTTCCTCTCCGCTGATACATCCTGGGGCTCCTAAAAACATATGCGGTGTGCACACAATTGTGATTGTGAGGACAAGGAAAAGGTGTCTGAATAGTTAAGGGAGTATGGTGAATTGAATGAATTGATTGCAATCATGTAAAGGACTGTAGATTGCAGTTAGAGCGGGCGGCTCGTCCCTTGTAAAACCGGAGAGTTGGACATTGGGCACCGCTGCACCCGGACCGTATGCGATCTTGCATACGTGTATCTTGCATGTGCTTAAGACGTGCGCTGGGACGAAGTTTGAATTCAACCAGAAAATGTGGCCAATTTGCGTAGCAATGATAGCATCCACGGGCACATCATGGGGCATGCAAGATAACTGTGCCACTGTACTGGTACAGCTGAACAAACGGCCGTTTTCCTTCCTGGCGATTCTTCCTCATGCCCATGTCACAGTTCTCGATAGGTACGCTATTTCCTGCATGGAAATTCAAATTCACGGAATTTCATCCAGAAAAAGCATTCCGTCTCCGTCCAGCTTGTGCCATGCTGCTCGTTTAGTGGACAGAAGTCTCAAGAGAAAACTCGACGTGCTATCGAAGAACACGCCGGAGCTTGAGCCATTATGGCTGCGATGCTTTGTTTCTTGTTGGAAAACTTCCGACTCGAGTGCAAGGCTCCCTGCCATTGTCTGCAGTTATATTTTATGGCTGCAAAATCACGCAACCGAAAAGAGTCGCTGTGCCGCAATCGAGAGCACTTCTCTTGCTCCATTCTCCACGCAACACACACAGCAGACGGCACGCTTGCCGTGGCCACGCCCAGTGGCCACGTCGCCTTGAATGTTGCTTGTCGAGCAAAAAGCCCGGCGTGCATTCTGACACACCCGGGATGCCTACAGAGGGCTGAATGCGAAGTGAATATCGCATCGCAACTTCCAGCACTCCAACGATAGTGAGGGAGGCGAATGTGGCGATTTTCTCATCTCAAATCGACGGCTATGCAGCATGCGCAAACGCACGCGGCTATTGGTGGTACGCTAGTGCACACCGCCAGTACTGGTACTGGTGCAATGTGCTGCAGCAGTACTGTTCCTTGCTGGGAGTCCAATGCCCGTTGCCCTCTGTCCTCATGCCGGCTACCAGATTCAAACGCCCAGTTGTTTGCTACTTCGGTGCACTGCCCAACGCCCCACATTTGCAGGTGGGCAAATCTCCTCGTCACACGTGGGCCCGGCATGGTTGGCTCGCGTTCAAAGTGCAAAGTCAGCGGTGCGTGCGAATTCTAAGCAGATCTGCACAGATCTGCGCAGCGCTGGTGGTTGTCAGAATTTGGGACGCGCTCCGAGGGCCCAGCAGCTAAACATTCTGGAGGCTGGAATGTGTGTAACCTTCCAGGACATCATTTGAGTGCTGAGTCCTCGGCAATTGTCCCATGTGCGGCCACTGAGTCAAAACTTGCAGGCATGGTGGAACATCAAACATTTGGATTCTTTGGATTCTTGGCCCAATACTCAGCCATGGTGCCACTGGTGATCTGTTGTGCTGTGCGTCTACAGAAGGCTATAATGCTGCTGCTGTTATGAGAGATTGAGAAGCAACTGGAAAGCTGACCATCATTGCCTGATCAGAAGCTTTCACAGTTTGCATTCAAGAATAAGCTGGTGTCTGATTCTCAGCGCCAAATGCCTATGGCAACCCTGTAACCTGCAGCCATCTTTCAGCAACTCACGTGGGAACATCAGTTCCCAGATGGCAGCGTATGCCTGAGTGTCCACATTATCTGCGTGGCAAGTGGCTGACAGAAATAGGCCTAGCTGATTGGACAGCGGATCTCGTAGATCTGTCAGGCTTTAGTGCTGATGCTGGCGATTGGTGACAATAGCGCAAGCCCGGGCCCACTTCTAAGCAGATCCAGGAGGTCACTGCACCAAGTTAGACACAAGCAGTATCGACTTTGGATCACTTGTGCATTGATTGTTTGTGTCAGCAGTGATGAAGGGAATGGAATGCAGCATACCAGCAGTTACTAATGACCTAACCTGAAAGACTTGCAATGATCCCTTTGCATACGGACAGCAGTCTGTGTTGCAGGTCGAAGGGGTCCTTATTTGAATCGCATGCCTCCAGCGTCTGCAGTGCGCGTCCGAGTATGTAGGGATACATTCTAAGAACACTGCAGACTGTGCCCAGACACAAAGCACAAAGGGCAATCTTCCACTACGTTGTTGTTGCACAAGAGCTCATTGAATGCTTGCATCTAGCGCAAGAGGCAAGCTTCTCAACAGAACAAACAGAAAAATAGCTAAGTTTCGTACACAGCAGGCTGTGTTGTGGCCCTGGTGCGCTTCACCACCCACAACTGCTGCAGTAAAACACTTCATTTGCTGATGGCATGGCCAAAGAATGCCAATGTGTACATGCATGCTTTGGCATCCCTGCCTGTGGGACACACTGGGTTTGCACATTCCTGGGGACGATGCACAGTCTGACCATGGAGCCACTGCGTCCACGGTGGCTGCAAGGTGGATGCCGGGCAGCCGACATGGCTACCCAACATGGCTTCCCTTGGCAGACAGAAAACCAAACACAGTTGTCCATGGCTGGCAGTTTACAGTGGCGCAGCCCTCATCCCCCAATCCCAATTTGAGAAGATGCGAGGATTTTCCAGCCAGCACAAATGTGTGGTCTCTCTATATGATGTGGAAACGTCTATGCAGTGGAAACGCCTAGTCAGTCCCTGCAGAAGGGGCACAACCACGTTCAGCTTGTCAACATCACACCAGCATGTGGTATCCACAACTTGCAACAAATGCTTAACCCATGATGCATACACAGATGTGACGACCCTACTATGGCTGCCTCTGCGGATTCATGCACACAAACCCACTGTGTTTGTGCTCTGCATGCATTCACACCACTGGGTTGCAACCTCACACATGTCTAAAAAGACAACTATGGAGCTCACAACTGCGAATATTCATGCAAAACTTGATGCAAGAGACATCTACCGGCAAGTCATTCTCGCCACACAGATACTTGATGCTGTGGGTGGTTAGACTGGCACGGGCTCATATCCCTGAACAGGCAATGTGTCTGGTCTGTGTTGGTTACTTCAGCTGTGTGGTACATTGAGCCAGCACATCAGAGATGTTGCCTCCAGCACACAATGTTCCACCTGCAGGTTGCCTTCCACTGCACTATTGTGTAGGATGCAGAACTGAAACGTGCCTTACCCCATGTAGGTTATGCCACAAAATAAGAAATCTTGTGGACTGCTGTTGGCCTCACAAAGCACTGGCAGGTTTGACAGCATGGGGCCAAGTCGCACCTCGCATTTCTGATCTTGCAAAACTTCCTCCAAGACGATGTGGAGATTTTGTCGCCCTCCCTCTGAAGAACGGAGCTCTTAGCGCCAGTTACGTCCTTTGTCGTGTCTTTTGTAAAAGAACTTTTGGTACAGCGCTCCAAACACAAGGACAGTCCCAAGCCTATCACACAACATGAATGCCAACCCAGTCCAGTGAGGAAATTCGTTGTTCCAACCCAGTCCAGTGAGGAAATTCGTTGTTCCACGGGGTACGCCTCAACTGTGGATCCCGCGGTTCGTTGCAGTTCGCATCCAAATGGATCAAAGAAAGGGAATTTTAGACAATGCGCAGAACAACCATCTAAAGTGCCAGAATTTCGTGCTGGTGATGCTGTGTATCTATCTCACGTAACGGTTGCAGGCAACACAATTAACACCTTGCCCCACTCCATTCATGCAATCATGATTCCTGAGGATGGCAGTTAAATGGAGAGACTGGGATAATACACTGTGGATGCACAATTTGCCCTTTATGGCCCAGAATGTGCCTGGGTTCGGTCTGCCAGGATGGACTATTGTGCCAGAAACAGCTACAAAGGTGCAGTAAACAGCGCAATCGACTGCATAGGCCATGCTCACCACTGCCCGCTTGTGAGGGGGTGGCCAAATACCACGCAGGAGAGCAGTATGGAGAACCACTGCCGCGTTGTCATGACTGTTGCGAACACCAGCGCGCCGTAGCTCTTTATCGTGTGGGACACGAAGAACTGCACCCCGGCGGAGGCGATGGAGATTCCCCCGATCCACGCCCACGCCTCCGGGTAGGCCGACACAAAAGTGATGGACGGCACTAGGCGCCCCGTGCCCACCAGCCCGGCCACGCTCAGGCCCATGGACCACATCGACGTGTACAGCACCTGGTTGGCCAGGCCCATCTCATGCCCCGAGAACAGCTTGTCCTGCCAGGTAGAAGTGAAGCCATCCACCACAAGATACACCACCAGCACCAGCCCCCCCACCACAGACATATACTGAGCGCCCCCCGGCAGCATCCCCCCCCTCTCCGCCCTCACCGGGCCCGTGAGCAAGAAGATGGCGCACCCCGAGGCCACCACGACCGCCTGCAGGTACTCCTCCAGCGAGTAGCTCTTGCCCCCGATCGCCGTTTGCCAGGCCATGACGGGGATCATCTTGGCGCACTTGGCCACCACTTGCACCGGGAAGGACACGTACTTGAGGGCCTCGTACTGGCACAGCGACGCCACGACGTTTGCCAGGCTCACGGCGCCGTAGCTCCGCAGGGGGGCCGCCGGCCGCAGCTGCCTGCGCCCGGAGGTGCATGCCCAGCACAGAGATGCCAAGCACGCCGCTGCCCTGTTGCACAGGACAAGGAAGAGGGAGTGCCGGAAGATGGCTCCCGTAGGACCGAAGGGCACCGTCATGATGCGCTCCTGCAGGACGCCGTAGATTATCAGGGAGCCCGTGAGGCCCACCACGCAGGCCACCGCGGCCAAGGCGTCCCAGGAGAAGTGCCCGGGCACCGATTCCGACAACCCACGCTTGTGCACCGCCACGCGCGAGAACAGGCCGACACTGCCGATCGCGCGGCTGGGCGCCGCCGCCGGGCTGGCTTCGGGGGCCGAGGGAGGGGTCCTGGCGATGAGCGGGCGGTCGTCGTCGAGCGGGGCGTCGGCGATGGGGAGAGCGGTGGCGTCACACGTCTGGGGGTCCTGTGGGGCGGGGTCGGCGGTCATCGGGAGGACGGCCGGGGTGTCGCGACCGGAGCGCCACCGCGACTGTCGTGCGCTTCCTGGAGGTCGCGCACCCCAGCACCGTTCCCCCGGGGCGGGAGGGCAGAAGGACAGCAATCCACCCGAACTTGTCTCGGCTTCCCGCCAGGCGAATATTTCTTTTCGCGACAGCGGACTGTTTTTTTTCTTCTTTTTTTTCGACAGTGCCAAACTACTCTTTTTGCGACAGTGGATTGTTCTTTTTGCGACAGCGGCTGGGACTGTCCGTTTCTGCGACAGTGGCCCTGTCGTTCTTCTTTGCGACAGTGGCCGTGGCTAAAGTGTGACTCGGCCAGCCAAGCGCCGGGAATCAGTCGCCGCGAGAGGTTGTTTCTCTCTAAGATTGTTTCTTAGATTGGGTAAGTTGTACTGGCGTGCGTTATGCTCATCAATGCGCAGCGAATCCCTCCAGCTGGCCAGTTTGGCTCGAGAAATTGCACGGATGAAGGGCCAATTGAGTTTCCTGTGGAGTTCTGAGAGAAAGCGGCGTGCTCAGCAACAAAGAGGGCAACGCGACAACACTGAACACACTCAGTTACAGGAGTGACTGCTGGACCTGTTTATGCTCCTAGTCAGTTCCGACCAGTGTGCAATTTCTTGCCGGGGTATCAGTGGGTTGCATTGTTTGCTTAGGATCCCTGTGCCTTTGGATCTGGGTAGGACATGCCTTGTAATCCACCACGGAAGTCTGACTGTGGCTCGTCAGCCCGACTGGACAGCCACATCATGGTCATTGAACACTTCCGAACAAGTCCATCATGCAAAGACTTGGTCGGTTGGGAGCATCTTTATCGGTCGGTGCTATTGCACAGGCGGACCTACCCAGGAACGGTTCTCATTGGCTGCTGTGCCACCTAAGTAAGGTGGCATTTGCCGAATGGCACCGGCGCTATTGCTCCCCTGCGCGCATATGCAATTGTGGGTGCTATTCCTGCGCAGGATGGCACCATGGCAGCACTACAATGTTCTGCGCGAACAGCACCGTGCGCTATTCTGGAGTGCCGTTGGCCTCGAGCAGTGCTATTCGGGCCCAGAATAGCACCACTCGGCGTCGAATAGCATCGGCGATGCTATTGGGGTGCTACTGCTCCCCAACCGTTAATGATGTTTTTTTGACGTGCGGTGCCATTCGGATAGCCGAATGGCACCACCGGGACTATAGTGCGCACCGATAAAGATGCTCTGATGAGGGGAGTCAACGACAATTTGGCCAAGTGACATTCTGGCCAAGTTATCGTACCCGTATCGGAGCCAAAAAAAGTGCAGCCGCCACTGTTCTGCCAGGTCATTCACAACAACAAACTGTGCGATTCGCAGAGTGTGTGAATGTGCTTGTCCTGCTGGCTGAAGTGGCGGCGCTTTTGTGCGCCTTTGACAGGTGGCAGCAACCTGGCCAGAATGTCACTTAGCCAATTTGCAAATTGCCACTGACCCATTTCAGGGGGTAAGATTTGTTAATTGAGGGAGTGTCGGACGTGACATGTTGCTCGCGTGTTAGGCTTCTTGGCATTAGCAGCCAAACGCCTCCTGGGTTTTGTTTGTGTTAAACGTTAGATGGCAACGAATCGATCATAGACATGGCTTTGCTCGGGCAGAATAGGAAGCTGATGGCTACCTGATTGCCTTGTAAAACTTAAGGGTGATGGTGATGACATGCTGCTCGCGCAGACGTACTTGTGCCGTTCCAGGAATTCTGAAATAAAATCTGACAAAACAGAACCAGAGAAAAAGGTTCAGGGATGCAGGAAGAAACGCAAGCAAAAGAAACAAGCCGCGCCCGTCGGACTCGGTTTCCTTTTCGGAGCAGCTGGGAAAGTGCTTTTCGGCCTTTTGCCCCGTGCCCGACCCTTTTCCCCAGCCCCTGCTCCAAATCCCACAAGAATCCGGGCGCCCCAAGGCCCGCCCCAGGGCCCACTTTCCGGACCGACACACAGCCCCAAAGTACTGCCCACCCCGCCGGCATCCATCCCGCCCCCCGGTCCCGGCCGCCACGTCGCACCACGTCGTTCCTCGTCCTCGGATTCCGCATCCTGGCTCCCCGGAAAGGCGCGCGGCCTCCGCGATCCCTTGGCCTGAAGGCGCTCGCACCGCGCCCGTGTACGGGACTGCCCACCCGACCCCCGGTGACCGACGCACAGGGCGGCAGGCGCTAGCCGGGGGCCTTCGCTGTTTTCGGCGAAGGCCAAGCTCGCCGCCACCGGAGCAGGGCGCCCCCGAGGAGGGGGACGCTCCGGCGGCATGGACGGGGACTTCGGCTACTCCGCAAGCCCCCAGGTGCGGTTCCTGGTCCGGGGGCGGGAGTTCGTGACCTCGCTCGACACCGTGACCTACCTGCCGGACTCGTACCTCTCCTGGCTGGTGGCCAACAACGCGGAGAACATCCAGGCGGGCGCGCCCATCACCGTGGACCGCCACCCCAAGGTCTTCCGGCGCATGCTCGAACGAATGAAGTGAGTGGGCGGGCGGGGGGGGGGGGGGGGGCATCTGGCCCCCGCGGGGCGCGGGGCGCCGGGCCCGCGGTGCAAGGGGCGGCTGACGCGGTGGCGCCGCTACCCCGGCGCGGTGGTGCTTGCGTGGACGGGGGAGTGCGGGGAGCCTTGCGGACGCGTTTTCATGGGATGCAATTGCGCGTCGGGTGATCGGAAGCCTCCCCCAGAGGGGGGAATGTTGAGCGTGGGCTGATCGTCGCGTTTTGGGGCAGCAGAGGGGGACAATTGCGTCGCCATTCAGGCCTCGGGGAGGCCCCGCACGGGAGGTGACGCGTATTACGGCAGGGTGGGATGGGTGCTGCAGTACTCCCAGAGGCAGCTCGTCCTACGCCCGCCCGCATTTTGTGGGTGCCGCGCATTCCGGTCATTCGGCCTGTGATCCGGGCCGCACTGGGGCGCCGCTCCGCACAGTAGTCGCAAGAAACAGGGGCTGGGAGGCGCCGCCCATTGCGCTTGCTGACAAGGTCGCCACTGCCGCTGGGCGCACCGGCACCGATCTGCGTGCGCCACCAGAACAAATGGAGCTGGTACTGGCCAAACGGCATAGAAAAATCTTTCGGGCATGTGTCGAGCCGCCTTTTTCTCTCGTTTGGCTGCTTTCAAAATCTCCCGGAACGGCTGTACGCGCTTCTCTGTCCCCAAGGTTCAAGGTGTGTTCTCCCTCCTCCCTTTGTGATGCTGAGGCTTCCGACGCCGAATGGAGCTTTTCTCTGAATGGCTGCCGCGACTGTCGACAGGGCCGTTCCGCATGTGTCCAGTTGCGCCTTACGCGCCCCTTGGCGACTCTCCCGGTGATCCAGCCAGCGGCCCAGGGGCGCGCCCGCCGCGCCCCTGCGCCCTGATTGGGCGAGAGCCGCCGGGGGAGGGCAGCCCGACGGTGTGTCGCTGCTGCCGTTTCGATACGCTGCGCGAAGTCCTGTGGGCAGGTGCCAGCCTGTGAGGTGTCAGGGCTGCGACACTGTCGGTGCTGGAGTGACAATGGGGAAAGAAAGAAATAAAGAAAGGGCCTTCTCCTATCGCAGCTATCGCGGCGCGGTGTGGCTTCTTGGTGGGGCTCGGGTGGTCGCATTTTACGGGGCGGATTTGCCGGGGCCTCGCGTCTCGTCTGGCGTACCCGGCGGCCGATTCTGGCCGGTTCGTCTGGCGCGCTGCCGGCGCACGGGGGGCCCTAGATCAGATCTGGGCATTGCGCTCGCACGGCTGCATGAGCGCACTGCATGCCGACGCCTTTGTCCTTCACGTTGAAACAAGATCACGGGTGATCGCCACTGACCCGCGCTTTTCCTGTGCACACAGCCAACTCAAAGAAATGCAGGTGCAGTTCCAGAGGCCCGAGTCCCCGAAGTGCATCGACAGGAGAGGAGAAGAAGAGACGTTCGCCCCGCGGTCCGCCATGGACCCCCGGACCTTCCCCCACATCGACACTAGCGCGAGCTCTCTGTATGGTGGGGCTGGCAAGAAGAACGGCAGCGGGACGGGCCCACAGGGAAGCAGGTTGGTGCAGCGGGAGTCAGCCTTTTATGCCCCCGGCTCCCAGTTGGCGCCCTTGGTGAATGGCGGGCAACGGCAGGCAAACACTTGGGAGGAGACGGCAGCGATGGTTGAGGATGCTGTGCTGGACATCGTGGGCCTGCTGGACAGGTGCTTGCACGAAAAGAGATTCTTCGACAAGGCTGTGTTCATTCTGACGTGGGGCCGCAATGGCGACCAGGCCAAGGTGCTGCAGCCGTATGTCTGCCACCTGTTCGACAGTGTGACTGGCAAGATGATCGACGTCCTCAGGGCTACCAATGGCAACACAGCCTCGGGCAGCTGGAAGGACTTCGAGAGGATGTACGAGAATGCTCACCTGTCGCAGGAGATCCAGCACTATGTCAAGGAGGGCCTCCGCAAGCTGGGGTTCATGTGCTGCTTCACGGACCTGAAGATAGACCCCGACAACTTCTTGCACTGGCGCTTGGCAAAAAATGGCCACAGTGTGAAGACTCTGGACAGGGATGTGGCGCTGAGGTGCTTGGTTGTGTCCCTGTGAAGCCTCTACTCTGCGTTGGGGCCAGCAGTGGCCTGTCGGCGCAGGGGCTGTGTATCCTGTGTGTATCAGTTTTTGCTGGGATCTGTTGTGGGCGCACAGAAGACCGGCGGCCACGTCATTGGGTTTGCGTGTTCGTTTTCCCTTGGGGTGCCACACAGAGTGAGGGTTGCCTCGCCTGCCTGCTTCTCACACTATCATGGCCATGAAAATTTTGCATTTGTTGGGGACTGGCTGTACTGGGGTTCTTTCATAAAGTGCTATTCTTTGGGTGCTTTTTGGAGCCCTCGGGTCCGGGGGGCTCCTTGCTTCGTTCCCTGGAAGTGACGAGTGTGCACTGCCCTCAGCCAGGCGGTGCCCTCTGGGGACGTGCAAGAGCGAAGAATAGAGCAGCAATCAACAAAAATCGGTGGGCTTTGCTGTGTCTATGGTTCGAACGTGATGAGGTTGTCGATTGGCTTTTGGAGCCCGGAAGTCAGTTGACCTGTTGGAAGGGGGGAGGAGGGCTGTGGAACAGGTGCGCCTCGCTTGACGAGCTGCACAGTTTGTTGCGACAGCATGCGCCGAATGTGCTGCGGGCCCAAGCCTCACGTCGCACAGCTGGCTGCTGTGGACCTGAGTGCTAATAAGATGACGGGTCGCATGTTTATTTGTCAGGAGCTCACCTGGGCTATGGCCAGGGATTGGTAGCTCAAACCGTCTGCCCTCGCTGACTGGAGTGAGAGGAGGGGCGAGCTGGTCTGTGGCAAGTCGAGCGGCGCGTCGTGTGGAGGGCTTGGTTGCCAGGCATGGCTGCATGCCACCCCCTGGTGTTTTAGGTACAGACAACGAATGTCTCTGACCCTGGGATTTGGTGCAAGAGATTGGGGATCGGAAGTTGTCTGCGATGTAAGATCAGCTTCCTTCACTTCGTGCTGGGCGCTTGCCGGTTTTGTGAGAGCATGAACCTGCCTGCGGCTTTCCGTACCCAACACTTTAGGCCACCTCCTGCGCTTGTGTTAGGGATGCTCCATGCTGCGTTGGGTGGGAATTGCTGCACGGCAACTGGCAATCTGGAAGGCAACGCTGCTTCATTGGCTTCAATGGCTCCGTTGAAAAGACAGGGTGCAATCTTGGATTTGGAAGGTACTCGCCGGCGCTGTCCTCCGCGGAAATGCTCGCGTGCTGGAACCTCATGGCGCAAGGAACAGCACCTCTTCAGCCTCCTCAAGTATGGTGGCACCGCGCCCGCGCTGCCGCTTGTTGCCAGTCTTGCATGCGGAACCGCCCAGCCCCTCGCGGCGTCACGCTTAGGTAGTAGCCAAGTCATCGTTCCGCACAGGTAGAGCGCGGCGCAAGTTTGCGGCTGCACTTGGGTCCAGGTCGCTGTCGACTTGGGCAATGTGCACATCCCTGGCTTCGGATTTCTGTGCATCACCCGGTGGACTCTGTTGGCCACCGCGGACGCCTCTGCAACTGTCCTGCACGCCAATTGCGAGCCACTGCCTTGGTCCCCCCTGGTCCCAGGAGTAGTTTCTGAGACCGCTGGCAGATTAGCGACACTGGGATGGAAGGACTGGCGGTCGACAGAAGCACTGATGCCCCTGATGCATGGAAATCGGCTCTGGTGCGAAGTCAACGCGTCTGTGGTGGTCGCTCGCCAACAGCCAGCCCACGCTGCCGATCACGAGGCGACGGCGAGCGGGGTCACCTGAGCAGCCGCTGGCCTCTGTCCGCCGGGCCAAGCGGTCCAGCTCTGGACAAGCCTGAAAGCTGCGGCGGTGGCCACCCGTAGGCTGTTGCACGGTCGCCTTCTGGAGGAGCGCATGCATCCACTGCGTTGGCTCCTGATTTGGGATGACTGGTACAAACTTGGCGGGGTGCTCTCGGGCCTGTCACCCTCTTCCAATTCAGCCCCCCCCCTCGATGCATCGCGGCGGCGACGCAGGCCAAAACCGTCCAGCGCAACCGAGCGCACAATCATTGCACCCTGTGCAGAATAGCAGCCACAGCAGCTGGCATCCTGAGTCAGGATTCCAGACCCGAAAGCCGCGATCCACGCCGTCGCCCTAAAGGCTGCCAGGCACGCCCCGAGAAACGAGCGCCGTCGGAAGCGTCGCGGTGTGGCCGCCACTGCACCACCGCCTGCGGGGCTGTCCCCAGGCCGGCAGAGCCCCGGGGTCGATGGACCATAAGACAGCCGCCAGACAAGCGAAGTCTGTCATCAGTTTGCAGTCGGACATCCCCTTCAGCAAATTCCTGGCGGCTCCCGTGGCCCATGGATGGATGGCGGCCGTGGCCGCGTGCGGAGTTTATGGATTGGCGGCGTTGCCACTCCTCAAGCATACTTACCTGACCGGAGCGTGACCGCGATCATGAAGGCGGTCCGCTTACTGGCAGTTGTCCACCTTGCACTTCGTGGACGGCTCCAGTAGGGGTAGTCCAAGTGGCTATTCCCACGGTGAAATTTTTGGTAGGCTGAGGTTGGCGTTCACCGCCCCTCGGCATCCTTAACTATTGCGCCGCCGCCCATGGCGTCCTGCCGGCGAAGGCTTCGACACAATAGCATTGACTGAGAAAGGTTGGCCACCCTGATCAGAACGGCGGGGTCAGCTCTGTTGGCGTGCTATTCTTTCGCCTTTTACTAAAGAATACCGAGCGTTGACCCCACAACGCCGTATACCTAAATTTTTGAAGGTGCCTTTGCGCACCCCACGCCCCCGCCGGCGTCGCCCATGGCCATTTGTGTGCGCTGGCCCCAGCCATGGTCTATGCATGCGGAGCGGTCGTCATGGCCATCATACCTTTCTCGGCCTTTTGGCTAAGATCAAGTGTAGTATCTGTTCTTATCAGTTTAATAGCTGATACGGGGACCAAGTGTCCCCATGCTATTAATCTAATTTTTCTGGGGGTGGGGGGTTTCAGAATGCTCGCATTCTCCCCCCACGGCATGGTCCGGGCATTGCACAACCGCCCGGAACGTGCAACCCATTAGTAGTTTCCCCGTCGCCCATGGAAATATCTGGGCGCTGACACTAGAAATTCTATTTGAACAGCATTCATTACTGTCATTGAACGCGATTAATTGTGGTGCAAGAACGCAATTATCGATGCTGCCCATGGCAGGAAAGGTGCGGTGGCTGTGAGCCGGGCGCACTTCTGCTGGGATCGTCCAGAAGACGGCATCTTTGCGCTTGGGGCAATGTCGCAGCTAATGAGGGATAACCGAGGCGCGACAATTGCTGGTTGAAAACTATTTCCAATACCCCGCTGGTTGGCCTCACGGCCGCTGGTGAATTTCTGAACGGAGGGCGCCGTTCTCGGCTGTACCCCTCCCACCGGGCCCCCAATCCACCCATGGAAACTTTCGGGCGGCGACGCATTGGCAAGCCCCCGGATACAATGGCGCTGAATGTACAGGGAATTGATTGAGCAGCTTGGGAGCATGGTGTCCATCATTTCCAATCAGTTGTATTTCCATGATCGCGAACAGAAGATGCTGATTCGCAGTGCCAGCGTGCTTGCTTTGCTGATAGAGAGCCGTGTACACAAAGCAAAAAATGTCATTCTGCTGGCGTGGCTGAGGAAGTGCCGTAAACAGAGAGTCAGGGGCCATGTGCCGTTTATACTTGCAACGCTCGTTCTGCTTTCGTCGTCCAGTAATTTGAAACGTTGTGTGCCACAACTGACTGTGAGACCGGGGGAAAAAGGATTGGTTCATCAGCAAGTTCATCAGCAACTGCACAGACTCGGTTCGGGAACAAAGCGACCCGATTGCGCGATGGAAGTTTCTTCGAACGGGCAGAGGTTGATGCCCTCGGTTTGGAAACAACGCTCGCTATCATGTTCCCTGATCTTTCGAATGAGCGCGCTGCCCAAGCTCATGACCGACCGACTCCGTCCCCATCTTCTGCTCAAATGCAACGCCCGACTCTTCCTTCACGGAGGTCAGGTGAAGTTCACGAGGTTAGGTGCACGGCAACTGCCAAGCGCACAGCACAGCCTCGCGCCCACTGCACACATCCATCAGCGCCAATTACCAACCCACATTCTCTGATACGCCCCCTTGCTCTTCCAGTGCCCTGGCGGCTGTCTGCATTCGCGGCTGGCCTCGCGGCTCGATTTCGAAAAAGAATCACTCGCCTCTCCTGCCCCCTGTCACGGCCGTGGCCGAGCCGGCCTCTACTTGTGCCGCACTTCAATGGGGCCCCCGACCGCCACGACCCTCCCGATCACCTCGTTCAGCGACAGCCTGCTCCTCACCGCCACATGCCTCAACGCCTCGATGAACTGGATGAAGTTGATCTGGTGCACGGACGCGGGGCGCACGTCAGAGAAGATGCCGTCCCCAACGTCCGCGCTGAAGTGCCCAGTTATGAACTGGCTGTCGCGCAGCGCCTTGCTGAAGCGCATCTTGTCCATTCTGGAGCGGCTTGTGCCGCGCTCCCAGACGTTGTATCGCTCGAACACCCTCTTCAGCGCCATGGTCATGTCGTCCTCGTTGAGCTGCCGCACCTGCACAGACACCGCATCACCCGCGCCTTGGAGCCAGCATTCATCACTCACTGTGACGTAACAAGGCAGTGAGGTAGCCGTCAGATTCCTATTTTGCCCTAGCAACGCAGCGTCCACGTTTGGGGCCAACACTCACAGCCTCATTCGCGGTGAACGGCAGAGATGACGATTTCAGCGAATAATTTCGCAGGCCGGTGATTTCCATGTTTGTGTCATCTTGCACAGCCAAGAAATGGTGAAAACTCAAGAATTGGCAGAAATGTGTAAATGGTTGGGGTGACTGAAAACGGATCGGGGGCGCATGCGCTTGGAGGGGCGCTCGCCTTCCACAGGGTCTCCGAGTCCTGCAGGGCGGCGACGCCGTCGGCGCCGAAGTCGAAGTGTCCGAGGGTCTCGAATCCCCAGCTGTGTGGCATTTCATCTGAGCCCCCGGTCCCTCCGTCAGGCCCCTTCCCCATCCCGGCGCTCGCGCTCGGAGGGTCTTCGCCGCTGCCGTTCCCAAAAGAGTCCGATGAGTAGCCGTCGCAATCCGGAACTTGCCCGTCCTCGCCCACGCACTCTTCGATGCTGTCGGCCGACTCCTGGCCGCGTTCTGTGGACTCATTGGGATTCGCACTTGCGAGTCGACGGGGCGGCGCACTGAGTCACAGTCCAGACACTGGAGGTGAATCGGAGCGGGGATGAGCTGAGGATGAGTCACCTGCACTTGCCGCGCAAGCCAATGGACTTGTGGATTGACGGAAGCCCTTGCGCTGCAATGGACTGCATATTCATGTGTGACATATGCACGTATTCATATGTGCACATAGGCATATTCAGATGCATATGTGAGCCGCTGTAGATGCTCTGGGCGCGCGCGTGCCCCCAGAATGCCGACGATCGATGCAGCGTCATTTTCGTCTTTTCGGGCCTACTGTGTCCTCAGCCTCCGTGGTGTTGGTCGGCGAAAAGCCTAATCAGGATTTACAAATCTGACCCAACTTGGGCAAGGGGGCGCTTGCGTTGGGTCAAAACATCTAATTGACCGCCATTTGCACGCGCCAAACGCACCGCCAGAAAAAACTCCAAAAGGTGTGCGGCGACTACGATAAACGGCTACGAGTAAAGCGCCGCACGGAGGTGCACCTGTTTATGCTTGGCTCCCGTCCTGTACCAGAGCCAAAACCGCGAGCCTCTGGAAGACAACATGCAATCTAATCTAGAAGAGCCAGGGAACAAGCTTCGGATGCCTGCAACGCCTGGGGGCGCAGGCCATGGGATTTGACTAGCACAACTGGATTTCGAAAATAAAGCCATGCCACGTTGGGCCTCCATGTGCCACGGATGTTGGAACCCTGAACGCAAATCGCCCGTCCAAAACAGGCATCTAAATTTGCCCGCCTTCGCGCTGTGAAGCGTCAACACCGAAAACAACAGCTCATCGTATTTTTGCCTCCCGCACAATTTGCTGGGATTCGAGCATACATTTCCACCGGTTGCACTATGCTGCCTTTCTGTCCGAGCGGGACAAGCCGCGCTGCTCTGCGCCCTGGCATTGCTCCCACTTGGTGAGCAAATTCTGTGCATTTGCACTGGCCATGCGCCTTTAACAAAGTCTGGGTACTTTTGTCCGCAGAATTTCTACACAACATCTAGAGGCAGGAATACGATCGCTTCCCTGCAATAATTGTACTAAGTGTAGTGGCGTGCAACGAGTTATTGAACGCTTTGTTCAGCGAATGATTGCCCATGGATTTCACGTTGTCGCCACGTTGACACCTGTACCTACATTTCGTTTGCTTGCTTGCCTATTGCAGGGGCCGCCGAGTTCTGTGCGTCAGCGCTGCCGAACAGCCTCCTCGTCTTCATCATGCCCTGTTCATGGTTCTTTCGCCTCCGGTTTTCTGCTCACATTCCGCACGAATGAGTTCTGAGCCCACTGTGGGTCAGCGACACCAAACCAGCGATGCCACGCGCTTGCCTGAGAGACGGCCAATTACGTAATCGCATAAGCGGTGTGGCCAAATTCAAGCAAGATTGAGCGGGTTCCGCTTTGAGTTTCAGGTGTGAGTTTGAAGTTAATGGCCGATATGTTGATGATTGAATAATGCGCACGAGCAAGCGTTACTTGGCGACGGGTACATTAGCTCCAGGCTGCACTTTCGCATCATGGGGCAGCAGTGCATTCGCCTGTGATCACATCTCCATCAGGGTGTCGCTTATTGAAATAGAGTACCTTTTGTCTGTTCGCCCCGCATAGGGACGGCACTGCGCGAAAGTCTGATACCAACTTTTTTGTTGATTTCATATCTTGCATCATGGTTAGGATCCAAATGCCATCTGCATGGTCCCCACGATATGACGCCAACAAAAACTGGTTTCTGACCTATGTGCTCCGCAAAGTTGCAAAGAGTAGTAAAATTGGCCTATCAGCAACTCCCGCCTTGTCGCAGAGGCTGCGCCAAAGCATTGTAATCTTCTCCGCGCCGATGCTGTGGCAACCGTCTCAAATTGCACCAGACCGACACCCAGCACCACTGGGACGTCTCCGAATTGCTATCCGTATGTACGGTGATCGTAGAATGACGTCTTGACATCAACTGCGGATGCCATGGGCGGATGGACGTGAAGAAGGGAATTGGTGAAATCCCATCCCCGGCGCCACGCATGAACTCACACGCCCACTCGTATAATCGCGTCGGGAGGCTATTGTCCTGAGGCGACACAGGTGTTTAAGATCGCAAGGAAAAATATCACGTGACGGGGCTGCGCAGCTTTGCCCTCCACTGGAGGTTCCGACGGATTCTGTGTGAGATACTGTTTCACAATAAAATTTCTTCATTAAGAATTACATGCGTTTGGCAAGCTAGAGACTAAAGAGTCAACAAAGCAGCGTCGCGCAACACAAAGGTATGGATTCAGTGATGCAACTGGAGTTGAGTGCAATGTAACGTTACAATGCTCCCCGTTACGGGGAAGATGTGCCTTGGAATGGAGAGCGGTTGCATAAACTTGCCTGCTCCAACGACATTCGAAATGCTTGCAGCTAGTCAGCATCACTAAATGGATGGACTTTAACGCAGAAACAACTTACACCAGTCAAATTTAGTGCCCGAAAATCCCTTTCTCTCCATTCCGCAAACACAGCCGTTCAACTGACGTCATGGTAATACACAACGAGAGGAGGCACTGTTACCTCCGAAAATGGCCGAGACCGCCCCTGGTGAAGAAACGCACCACAGGCATCAAGCACGACAAAATCTGCCATGGTGTGCGCTCGCCTTCTTTTCGCGTTCTCCAGAACCTTCGTCACCACCTCCTCGAATCCCGTCCGGCGCTTTTCTCCAATCAGCTGAAGGGCGTGCAAGAATTGAAGGTACTGCAGCTTCGCCGCTCCCAACTCTTTCTTGCACACCCGGTCGGCACGTGCCCTGTATCATCAATCCATCACTTCACCAAGATCCATTCACATGAACATCCGCAAATAAGTCAAGCAGTTAGTAAATACGTAAAATCTCTACGTTTTCTCGTTTGACGATCGATCTATTAAAGGCTTATCCAATCACAGCTCATTTATTGCATAAAATTAGCTTTTCGCGCTGACAGAGCTCCCCACAAACGCACAAAAAAGATGAATTCGGGTGGCAATTGTACCACCGTGCGCGCTTAACTTCGGTAGCACAACACAAGAGAAGCTGGGCGTCGGATGAATATGCCAAACTTTGTGACTATTTCTTGTGATTTAGGGCCTGAGAGTGCAAAAGCAACGATAATATTCTGCACACGAAGTGGTGGATATTTGCACCTTGGGGCACAATTTTTATCCTGACGGTGCAATGGGCTGTCGCGTGACCCGAATCAGAGGACCTTGTTTCATTTTGGCGGCTCAAGACACAGAATCCCGAAATTCGCACTCTCCAGTCCTTGCAGACACATGCCACGTACATTGCGATACATGGCGTGGGTCTTTTGGACGTCTTGAACGACTGGCTAACGAACTCACCGCCGACACGGAGCATGAGGTACTCAGGCATGTCTTGAACTAGGTCACAATGTGACCAGAAGGCAACGATCGATACATGCCAGTGGTGTGGCACAGCTGATGGCGACAGTTTAGATTCACGATGTGAGCTCGGCTGAATAGCATAACTTCAATTTCACATGATTGATATTTGGGCGCCTCAGGAGCGCCCTGTCTCCCCCCAATAACGTTGCACAAATCCACTATCCAGCAATTAGTTGTATATGTTCGAATTGTATGTGCAACGCAGAAGAAGAATACCACTGAAAAACGCATAATCCTGGTAGGCTACATAAACTATTGTGCTTAGTTTTCCCACAAACTGAACGGATCATCCACATCACATCGTAGATACGACGCAACATTTGTAGCACTGCGTGCGCGCTCCTGGCTCACAAATTGCGAAAAAAGATGATCTGGACATCACATAAAAAGTACTAATTCTACCCTGTACTAGTTGTGCCGGTTCTAGTGTGTACTAGTAGTACCGGTACTAATTCTTGTTTCAAGTTTCGACCTGGATTTTACAGCGATTTTCCAACTGCACTCACCTGTGAAAGACAATGTCGACCGCCGCCTTGACGCACCTCTCGCCGTCCACTAGCCGGCAGTCGCGGCACAGCCTCGCGAAGCTGTGGCCCTCCATTTCTTCTCGGCGTCTGACCCCCTTGCCGAAGGAGCAGTACGCCACGAAGACGTTGTACAGACGGGCACCTGGGCACCAGACACTAGTAATACCTCGGCCAAATACACGGTTTCGAGTTGTTAAAAATTCATGTAAAACTTGTCAAAAAGTGTGAAAATCATGTGCACTCGCTCAATCGTTATTACGCGGTTTGGTCCCATTTTTGTACCGTAAATACAATATAAATGTACCATTAACACTAATTATGGCTGGTTTGTAATCGCGTTACACGTTGCACGTGTATTTTTGCCTGTTTTTTGCAAGTGAGAACCTCGCTTGGGGTGGCTCGCAGATCGGAAGAGAGCGGAATGTCCACCGGATGAATACACCTCTCTGATGATGTACAATCTGCAGCCGGTCGGCGGAAACATGCGCACACATTCACCCTGCGCACTGATTCCTGCCCTGGAGCTTAGTTTAGTGTCGATTCGGGTCGTGTCAATATGAATCAACGGCGGATCGTCTGGATCTGAAACAACGGCGGGTCGTCAGAGGGTCCGCCATTATCGCGTTGCGGATTACTGACAAGGAACTTTCGAAACGTCCCCAAGACGACAAAAAAGTACCATGGCGACCGCAATATACGATTGCAGATGCCATAGCTTGCCTCGCACGAAGATTTTTATTCTGGCGGATGGGCTCTGTGATATCGGCGCTCAGGGCTGTGTTCCGGATTCTTGGTGCCACCCATGTTCCGAATCATTTCTCTGTCAATCTCGTTTGCCTGGCCGATGGAGACCCATTGCGACCAGCGCGCTGTTCAAGGGGTTCCCTGCGGCTCCGTGCTCCAATCGGCACCGAAAATCACCATAAATGTAAACATAAATCCACGCGCCCGGAAACCCGGTCCGTATCCGCTCACAGCCACTCTGTGCAAGCAACAGCATCAATTGCCAAGCACGATTTCCACCTTTGGCCCTGCCAGAGAATAAGCAACTTTTGGTGGAAATAATTACGCATTTCTTGATCGGCCCCGCTTGTCTGTTTTGCGCTCGCGTTGCCACCAGGTACTTCTCGGCGACGCGCATCAACTTAGGCAATGGCTGCGCTGGACGACGTCCGGAGCGCATAGAGCACATCTGCAGGCGCCCGATTCAACCATTACTGACGCACTACCTGTGCATCGCCCTCAGGTGGGACAAAACGCAAACCCTGCTGTGTGGCCGGCGCAGGGGTCCCACCTGGATTGTAGCCGTTCTTGTACACCGGAAATTTGAAGCACAGCTCGGAGTAGTAGTACAGCGTGAATTCATCCACCGAGATGAAGCCATCGTGGTTCAAGTCTGCCTTCTCGAATTCTTGGGCGGTGTACTCATCGACCGCCTTTTCTGGGACCCCGTCCAGCCTATCAATATCATAGAGGAGCCTCCGAAACTCATCTTCCGTTATGTAGTGGTTCCCGTCCCTGTCATACTGCGATTGTGAGAGAATTTGTTAACGGATTTGGTCGAAACGCCTGCTTCAAAAATGTATCGGAACAGTACGAGGAATGCGGCTGACACTACTTGCGCGGCAAGAATAGTGACTCAAGTGCGTATCAAACCCGATTTGGTCATATGGCCTAAAGATGACAAGAAGCTAACAGCATTTGCATGGCGACTCTGGCCTCCTCCTCACGCGTTCATTCCTACAGGGCCGTAGCTGTTTCTCGCCACCGATCCGTCGAAAGGGCTGAGGGATGGCTGCCAGTGGGAAGCGACAAACTCTGTCGACCACTGCACCTTCCAGTGATTGCTGATGGCAAGATTCCCGTCTCATCCTTGCCGGGCAGGGTTAGCTCCTCGCAGCGCCCGAGCAAATCAAATAACTGATTTGCTTTCATAATCGCTAATTGATTTCCAATTATTGGATGGCAGGCTGGCGGTAAATGACACACTGCAGGAGCGATTCGAGGCGGAGAAGCTGCGGATATCGATGGCTGGCTGATTCTCTCTTCGTCCAGGCCGGGCGATTCAGAAGCTTCGAAAGGCTGTACCCATAGGCTGTAATGGCGTACGCCCGTCGACGCATGAAGCAGAATGCCATGGCAGTCCATGGCGCGCGGACCAATCTGAAGGTTTGGCAACTGATTCCCTTCAGAGCACTGTTCGTTATTATTATATCATGTTATTCGGTCTTGGACAACTGCTGGCCACTCGCGGCACTCCGACCTCAAAGCAGAATGCACGGATCTGAACGCTGAAATGTGCGCCGTTTGTCTAAGCTGTTCAAACGCAATTCCGAGCTGCAGACTCCCACTGCACCTTCGCATTGGGCTCCGTGGACTTCTCTCAACCAAAACCGCATTGGACTGCTATTTGTCCAGTAGTACATATAATGTACAATAGCATACTCATTGGTGAGCACAATTGACAATTGTATACTCTGCATGTGCTACACTCTACGTTGTATGTACTGTAATTTACATATTGTATGCTACGTGTGCTAGAGATACATTGTCGGGTGCGGCAAGAATGATGGGAAGGAATTCGGTCAATTTGTTGGTGTGCCGTCAGGCAGGTCTGTAGCTTTTCTGGCAAATTGGGTAAAGGCACTGTGTACACAGTGAACATGTGACACCGTGATGGCGTATGCGGTGGTGTCGGCGCTAATCAGCATTGTTAGACTCAGGGCGGATAGTTTGTTCTCCGTCGGACCTAGCAGAACACTGCCAGAACTGGGGTTGTCAAACCAAAGTTTTGGAGGACAGTTTGTCCGACGTTCGTTCATTACCTTTATGGCCCCTTTATAACCTTCATATCCGGTAATGATAGGTATCGGACAATCCTAGACGTTCGATTTATTCGTCAAGAATTTGCTGAATGTCTCAGTCGCTCCAAACCCATGAAGATCGGCGGGGTAATGGCCCGCAACATGCGCATGTCAAATTTAAGCTCATAGCTAACAGGGAGGTAAGAGTCGATGCCATGCCTGACATGATGATGTACTGGTATGGATACATATTAGGCGCAATGCAGGCTTGTGATGTTCATGCCTGTGGTGAGATACGAGGACCGTTGAACAACGTGCAATGCAGATCCCAGTAGTCGCTGGCGCCTGCCGTCGCTCCGCACATCGTCCCAATTGGAATGGCATCCCTACTTTCGATCCTGACACAAGCCACAGGGAGCAGGAGGCTGCGCCCTCGCTCGCATCGAGCATTACTAACAGCTGGACGCGCAGAGATGATGAGGCATTGGGAATTGTACTAAGGACATCGATGAAGGGACTGGATAAGGGACAGAGTGCCCGCTCCACTGCAAGCCGCTGCCGTGTACCTGAGCCCACGGGGCCCAGTCAGGGATCGCCACCCTTCGACCCTGCCTGCCGTCGTCAGCGGCAAATGGCCATCAACTCGGGACGAGAAACGTCAGAACACCGCTCGCGCACCGCGTCGTCGTTTGCCGGCAGTCCTGGATCATCCGCCGAAGTCGGCGCGCCGTGCCCCCGTGCCGGGCGCAGCACCTTTTCCGCAAGCCAGCCGGGGCAAGCCCGACGTCCGACGTCCCTTGGCCCGGTGGTGCGAAGTTCCGCGCCCCAAGCCCACGACGACGCGTCACGGTCACCGCTATCGACCACCACAAATCCCGTTTAGGGCGTCCAAAACGCCCAAAACGCCTCAACACGGCACCAACAGACGCCCGCACCCACAAGAATCTGGTGGTGGATCTGATCCCAAGCAGGAAACGAACCGCCGGCCCCAGCCATTGGCCCTCGGCCACGTCCGTTGAGGGTCGGTCGGCGCTTGACCGTCAGCGCCGTGCGCAACTCCCGCGCCATGGACACTCGCCGCAGGGCAAAGACAGCTGAACACACTGGCTGGAGCCCGGCTTCGGGCAGGGCGACCGTTTTGTGGCGCTTTCGAGACGAAGGCATGCTGCCGCTCACCTTCTGGAACAAGTCCTCTATCGACGGGATGTCGTACAGTGGCCTGTCGACGCCCATGGGCCCCCGGGGGGCGCCGCCTCCCGCCCGCCGCCCCCGGTGCCCTCCTGCGGCCGAAGCGCCTCTCGGTGACCGTCTGGCGGCGCTTGATGGGGCGCGAGCATGGCAGCCGCCGAGCAATGGGGCGCGGTGCGGCCGGCGGCCAAACGGGGGATTGCGCCAGGGCCGTTGACGTGAGGCCTCGGCAGTTAACGGTTGGCTGCTGGCGTCATCGGTCCCTGCGCCGCTGTTGGCGGCATACAATTACTGGCTGCACCAAATCGGTGACTTTCTGCACTAAATCGGTGACCGCTTGCACCAACTCCCTCCAAAACTTACCTAACCTAAAACCTAAACCCTAAACCCTGAAACTAAAACTGCCCTAAACCTAAACCTAGCCCTAAAATTCACCCTGAAACTGAACCAAACCCTAAAACTGAGGGTAGGACATAGTGTTCACGTGATTTGGTGCAAGCAGTCACCGATTTGGTGCAGGCAGCAATATCATTTCGCTGCTGTTGGCGCGGGCATGAAGTCAGTCCCTCCATCTTTTCCGTGAAGATCCCTTCTTGTTTCGGACACCCTAAACCCTAAACCACCGACCCACTGACCGGCGTTGGCCTTGTCAGCGGAAGGAGAAGGGATATTCGTTGAAAACACTGAGGGACCAATATATTCTCGTTGGCCGGGGGCATTGGTCGGATTCATGGGAATCAGAGGGGCGTCCATGGCGACTTGATCGGTCCGTGAGAGCATTTGATGGCGGGGCGCTGCTGAGGCGTGTGCCAGAGTTGCAGATTTGGCTGAAATTGTCCTGTATGTGCAACATCTCTTGAATCGAATTGACCTGCAGACCTACCCTTAAAAGCCAAAACTTGCCAGGTTCCGCTGTTGAACCTATCGCGACAACCAACACTCCAAGTCCCCAAACGCAGAGGCGAGTGAAGCAAGGACCCCACGACCACGTCCTCGCCCTTTCGTGCAAAGCAGCTTGATTAGCTGTCAGTTCCGGATGGGACAAAATATGGCGTCTAAATGAGGATTGACCTCCGAGCGCGCCCTCTATGTCTCAGGATTCCACATCTTAAGGCCCTCATGTCACATTCGTGCTCAATATATACGAAATGCCTCAAATTTAAGTGTTCAGAAATAGTGTGTTTGTTGCTTGAGGCTAGCGCCTTAACGACTATTTGCACGAAACAGTGTTCCTGGCGCCAGCATCCTCATCAGACTCCAGCGCTCGCGGGCGCCTTGATCCACACCGGCTGTGCCTTGTGCTGGACATTGCGGATGTAGCCGCTGTCCCGGGGCTTGAGTTCCTCGAGCCGCGCCGCCGCCTTTCTCATCTTCATCAACGCCGTGTCCTTGAGCACCCGGACGGGATCACGTTCGACGGAAATGGACACCTGCGCCACAAAATCACTGGTGCCAGTCCTAGGACTGCATTTGCCGAAAATTGCGAAGGCCGCCAAAGCAACTTGAAGGCGGCCGCTTGCAGGGATTTGCCCATCCTGCACAGCTCCTGTCCGTACCATTTCCGTGCTCAAATGCTCGAAATCGTGCGTTGGTGGCTGCCTTTGTCGCATGCGCCATTAACGCAAACGGTGCAAGTCACGCTTGAAGCGTGTCGCCTTAACCACACACAAATTATTCGTTTTGACTTCCAGATGCGCCAAACTGGTGCCACATCATCGGATGGTGTGGCGCGTGGTTCAACTGTGTGTCCTCCTCGCGGGATATCAGGAGCATCGATTCAGTGCCGTTCGACTGAGTTTGTATATCTTCTCACCACGTAGCACATTTCTAATGCACACCATTCGGATATGTGACTTGCACCAAGCGCAGATCGAAACTTCTTGAAGTGCCTATTCTTCAGCCTCGGCGCCGAGCGATCACGAGCCTTTCCAGCGACGAACAGGTTAACAACCCGCTGCTCATACGTGGTGGGAAAACCAGCATTCCCTGATCCAGGCACCGCCATGGATTCCATGCGAAACGCAATTGGCTGTTCCATCTCCCAGTGGGGAGCCGCAGTGGGCCGCGACAATCGCCACGCAGCTGCGCCCAGAGCGCGGCACACGGCATGCAGCTACTCTCCACAGCGCACCGCCAACGTTTCGTAGGAAACTCCCCCAACATCGGAAAAGGTCCACAAATCCGAGGCATGAGTGTGTTTGCTGCAGGTATCCAGCAGCCACGCCACTGCGCCAATTGAAGCCATTTACGCCATGCGCTGGTCAGAGACGGCCTGCGCTCGGTGCGGTGCAGGGGTTCATATGCCGGCAAAAAGCTGCTCATTTCATTCATTTTCAAGCCGCACCTAAGCTTCGTTTAAACGGGAACAATTGCGTATGCCAAGTTTTGAAGTCGAGCATTGCAGGTCTGGGGAACCACGTCAAAATATGACCGGGCAGTTTTATCTCAACTGTGTTTTTTTGGTGCCAATTTTTTTCACCAGTGTATGCAGGTCCATGCTAGGGTGGAGACAAGGGCGGACTGCAGCCGCACCTGTCGCTTGATGCTCAAAGCCCTATTTTCCCTGTCGCGCCGGTCCCTCTCTTTCTGCTCCGCCGCCTCCTGTCTTCTCTTCACGAGGGCATCACTGCGCTGCCTCAGGCGAGCAGCGGTCTGTGGCGACGGCGGCTGGGGCACGTTCATGGCCTTCATGGTCAGCACAGCCCGTTCAGCTGCCTGGCGCTCGGCTGCCTGCATGCAGCAGGACAGAAGGTTAGATAAATAGGAGGAAACACAGTCAGCAAATAAATGAATCAACGAGTCAATAAAAGGATAAGGAATGAGAATTTCAAAAATACAGAATGAACAAATCAGTGCGCAAACAAAGTTGTACCTAAATAAGGAAGGATTGACACGCCGCGCCAACGTGCCGTCACAACTACGCTAGGAAAGTCAAGAAAGCATTGAAAAATGCCGTCACAGTACACCAGCACATTGGCACAAATATGCTTTGGCATGAGCTGAGAAATGCCGAACGCTGATGCGCATGCGGCCGAACCTGTATTAGTCGTTATGGCATGAGGTAACATTGGTCCCAATCGATTTCTGTTACGCACAAAACAAACCTTGGAACTCTGTTGGTTTCTTCCGTCCAGTGCCCATGAATTTGTGGACAGTGCCAACCGGGCAACACCTACCACGCAGCATCGCCTATAAGGTGCCAGGGCTGTGTTTGGTCAAGTTTGTCCGTCAAATGTAATTCAAGGATTTGAGCCACGAGCACCGCCGTCGAGCCAACCTTCTGGCGCTTGTACTCCTCCAGTCTGATCCCGTTCGCCCGCTGCCGCGCCCTCACGCACTCCTCCTCGCTCCGCTTAGCGGCCACATACCGCTCCCTCGCCCTTGCTTCCTGCCGCTTCCTCTCCTCCTCCTTCGCCCTTTTCCAGTCCTTGACGATCTCCCGCTGGACGTCCCGTTTCATGCCCTCCAGGAGGCGCGATCGCTGAGCCGCAGCCTTGGCCTGTGACACCACACGGCGCCTCCTTCAACAACGCAAATTATGCTGATCGCCGACCAAAGAGTCGCGTCGTTGTTCCAATTCGCCAGCACGGCTGCGGCAGCCACGACTCCCTCCGCGCAGCAAGACAGCGTTCACATGGAACTCTCATGGGGGCTGCCGCCGACGGAGCGACGTCGATGTTTTGCACTGATGAGCATCCACGACTGTAAGCGTACTCTGAGTCGGTGTACTGCGGCGTCCGCACATCTCTACAATGTCGGCATACAATTACTGGCTGCACCAAATCGGTGACTGCTTGCACCAACTCCCTCCAAAACTTACCTAACCTAAAAACTAAAAACTAAAACTAAACCTGTCCTAACCCTAAACCTAAAACTCATCCTAAACCTAAACCTAACCCGAAAACTGAGGTTAGGACATGGTGTTCACGTGATTTGGTGCAAGCAGTCACCGATTTGGTGCAGGCAGTAATACTATTTCTACAATCTCCGCGCGATCTAAACTGTAGATTGGAGTTCGTGATAATGATTCGAAGGACTGCGTAGTACAAGACATTTAGCCCGAACGAGCTG